TACAAATCATGTGAATTAGAAAGGTTATTTTAAAATGTTTTCACTAAAAGCACTGAGCCTAGAGAGGCTGTCCTTGTCATGGAGCAGTGGGAGCCAGGACCACTCAGGGTCTTGTGTGCTACATCTACACTCATCAGAGCATGAAACACTCCTGGGATTGGGTATCTCACTGCTCCTCAGCAGACAGAGGCTGTTCCTCATCTGCCTCATCCAAGTAGCTTCTAGTCCCTTCTTGCACCTTGCCTCACTGGCACATACCACATGGATGCCATTTGATCCCAAAATCATAGGATTTTCATGCCACTGAGGCACCCCAGGGGATCCCAACCAGCCCCTGCTGGGGGGCTGTTGTTCCAGAAAGGTTCCCATAGGCAATATTTGCCATCCCATTGTGTCCCCATAAACACATCCCAGTTATTAATGCCATCTCCTGTGGCATTGGCCACCTCTCCTTTGGGCAGCTGAACCTCACCTGTGACCTGTCTTTGGAGGCAGCTGGAAACAGGGCAGGATTGGCAGGGATGTCCTGACTGTGGTGGCCAGTCTGAAGGCAAAGAGCACCCTGGCAGGGCTCACTGGAAGTTCTCCCAGTGTCAGCTATGTGGACATAACACTGCTGTCTGTAAATCACCCTACAGACACCCACCAATGCACAAGGCTGCATACAGCTTCCCAGATCCTGACACAGTCATCACCATTTGTATGAGTTCCTGCCCCTTTTCCCTTCTTTTTCCCCCTAAGCACAGCTGCACCATGGAGGTACAGTCCATTCTTATATTTTGCCATTTCTCTGAAGGAAACCATATGTATTTATCCTGGGGAATGACTGGTAGCCTGTGCAATATGTCTAGAAATAATCCTTTTATTGATGTATAAAAATAAATAACAGAATCTGTGACCAGATGGTGTGTTGGGTGACATGGGGCTCTCTTCACCAACATGCAACTGCTCACCAGCCTTTCAGGACTGCTTGTCTCCAGTCCTCTGCAAGAGCTGCCTGCAAGTTCCTCTCACCCTGAACCAAATTCATCTTTGAGAAAGAGAGAAACTCTCCATTTGAGGGAGAGAAACATTTTCAGTAAAATCTAGGGGCCAAGTGAAAAAACAGGAGAAACAGCTCTGTCCTTGCCCAGAAGCTACTGGAGACAATCTTCATTGTAGCTCTGCGGGAGGAGAAGCAAATGTGGGATCTCAGCACCTTACTGCCCTGACTTTGCTTGAGAAATCTCTGAGCTTTCCACTCCTCGTGGGAATTTTTTTCCGCAGTTCCAATCGTTGTCGATTTTGGTTGTTTCAAAGAACAGGGAGTGAAATCCATTGCTTTTCATCATTCAGAAACCACTCACAAGGTTTTGACACAAAGCCAGTTTGGCTCAAAGCCAGGCCCATGGCCAGCTTGAAAATATTCCTGAACCTTTCAACAATCCCTGGCTGGTTTTCAAACTTAAAACAAAAGCCAAGATCAGGGAAAGTTTTCAGATTTTCAGCTTGTATAAGAAAACTTCTATACAACCTGTGATAAATTCCCACCATTTATTTTCAGTTACTTTCACGCTGGGAGAATCTCTCAAGTCTCCAAACCCTTCTCCTGCCTCAAAGAGCATAACCATGTTTTTTTACAAAATAGACTGGTCCGAGAGGTGTGGAGGAAGGTATGGGATGTGTTGGGAACCTACCTAGAAAACATACTATCCAGTTCACTCTTGTTTGGGTGCATTGCTTCTCACCTAAAGTGTCCACAGGTGCCCCATCGTATGGGGAATGTTGTAAGTTTATGGCAGTTTATTTACTTCCCCTGGCGAAGGGAGCATTTGGGTGCATTGCTTCTCACCTAAAGTGTCCCCAGGTGCCCCATCATATGGGGAATGTTGTAAGTTTATGGCAGTGTTGTAAGTTGCTGGATCTAGGCATTAGAAGGGGTGTGGTTAGTAGGTCGAGAGAGGTTCTCCTCCCCCTCTACTCTGCCCTGGTGAGGCCGCATCTGGAATATTGTGTCCAGTTCTGGGCCCCACAGTTCAAGGACAGGGAACT